ACAGAGTTCTATGGGAAACGCAGCTGCTGTGCTTGGGGCAAAGGCTCTGTCTTGAAGGAGCTGGACTCTTTTAGATAAGAGAGGAAAACATCCCAGGGCAATAGTTTTGTCATCCACTGAGGGATTTGAGTGAAGAATATTTGTTTTTATAATGTTATCACAGTCATAGTATCTAAAAGTACTTATTACAGTAGCTCTCAGTACGTGTTTGTTGAACCGAAGAAGAGATAATATTACACACCATAATGTAAGTAAGGACACTGTGCATGGGAGTTGATAAGAAGTGCCACGTATTGTGGCAAGGTGGTCACCATAGGGCTTGAAGGGCGGGGCTGGGCTCAATGTATGGAGGATCTCACATGCTAAAACTAGGGTTTCAACCTAGCGGTTGAGAAGTGGCCAATTCCTAGCTATTGCAGGAGTTATTCTGGAAAAATCTTTCCAGCAACAGTGAAGACACTCCATAGGGAAAAGACTGGACCAGTTAAGCCACTACTCCAACAGAAAGATAAGTATCTGAGCCCCAGCTGTGGCACCGGAAGAGAAGGGAATGCACCAACAGTCTTGAGAAAATCCAAGTCAACAGGGATAGTGATTCAACAAGGAAGGGAGTGCCAGAAGTGGCTTGTGGATGCAGGCAGATGAAAAAAAGTAATCATTTCAGTCTGGGGCGTGCAGGGGACAGTGCATTCAACACCACCAGGTAGTACAGTCAGAGAGTGAACACTGTTGAGGCAAGGCTGGTGCCAGTAACAGGGGCCAAGTTACAGTATAACACACTGCATTACCAGTGTTTAGTTATGAACTTATTGTTCTGCTGATAATTAGGACAAGGATAGTTATACCTCATCTAGAAAAAAATCACAACTAAATATATGAAAGTCAAGTGTCTTATCATCAAATTTGAACTCCAGTTGCAGACAGGTTAAAATCAAGCTATAAGCAGAAATTTCAAACTAACGACCAAGGTAGAAATAATCTCATGAAGATGTTCGGTACTGTGTTCAAATCTGATTAACAAAACAGTACGTTTTTTGAAAGCCAAAATGAGCATGAAATCCAACAAGGATATATATACCACTACAAGCTCACTCCCCTGTACTTTATGGATGAGATTGATTTTTAAAAAAGTGTCCATTATTGCATTTTATATATATGAATAAATAATCAAAAATGCCCAGTTCATAATTATTTCTCTTCGTAACAGCATGTTTGAGATTTCAGATAGACTTATTGGAATTTACAAGACATACAACATAAGAAAAAGCGTAGGTGTCAACCCAGAAGAGATCGCAGCTAAAGAACTGTGTTGAATGTGTTCAGAATGAAGACTTCAAATTCAATGGGTGTACATTTCGTGTATTATATTGCTTAATTTCTATTTGTAACAAGTTGTATGTATATTCCTAAACTGGATCATAAATCTTGTTTCTATTTTGTCCTGTAAATTAAGTCATAAGTCCAATAAAATATTCTTTGCACAAGCTTTTCAGTAAAAACTATATATTTTATATAATATAAAATATATATAAACTATATGAAAAAGACAAAATAATAGTAAAAACAATTTTAAGAAGCTATCATTTCTAAATCTTTTTTAAGATTTTGTTTTATTTAAAAGATCTTTCATCAGCTGATTTACTCCCCAAATGGCCAGAGGTGGGCTGATCCAAAGCCAGGAGCCAGGAGCTTCTTCCAGATCTCATATGTGGACGCAGGAGCCCAAGGCCTTGGGCTATCCTCTACTGCTTTCCCAGGCCACAAGCAGGGAGATGGATGGGAAGTGGAGCAGGCAGGACTAGAACTAGTGCCCATATTAAATGTTGGCACCACAGGAAAAGAATAAGCCTCTTGTGTGACCACACCTGTCCTGGTTTTTAAGTTTTTTGTGTGTTCCTCTGGGCCTGGCACGTTAGCCTAGTGTGTAACTCCTCCCCTTATATTCGTCGGGATCCTATATAAGCACTGCTTTGTAACAAGGCTTTGGGCCATCCTTACTGCTTCCCCAGGTCACAAATAGGGAGCTGGGTTGGAAGTGGAGCTGCTGGAACATGAACCAGTACCCATATGGGATCCTCACATATGCAAGGTGAGGATTTAGCTTCCTAGCCATTACTCCAGGCTCCAAACTGTATTCTTAAGGTCTGTAATTAAAAAGACCTTATTTTTTTTCCTGGTAAGAAAAATAAAGCACATGAGAATACTGGTTACATTTTTCTTGTGTTCATGGATATCAATCATATGGGAAGAGTCTGAAATTCAGGATATGGAACTCAGGTCTTGGCACTAAGTGGAGAGGAACAGAAAGTGAACTTGAAGTTTTTACAACATAACATAAATGGACTTCACCATTTGTGCACAGTTCATGGTATAACTGACTTTACTGTTTTACCTTAATTGTACATCTCAAGTAAAATGAAACCTTTTTATAAAGAAAAAAAGTCCCATGCTGTATCAAATTTCTTAAAAATGCCTCTAAATATTGCTATAGCTTCATAAATTTATGTGGCTAAAGCCCTCCTTTACAAGAAAAGATCAACTAAACTTAGCCACGTTAGATCAGATCCAAACCTCCCAAGACTGTTTCAGTATTCTTACATGCCAGTTTAAGCAATGACTTACGACAAGGCAAGTTCTGGTAACTGGATATTTCTGTAGTATTGAAATTAGTCGATTTGTGGGCACACTATACTCCTCTTTGAGGACGGTGATAGTTCATTTGGCAGCACACTGTGTCATTCAATGTGAGAACAGTGGGCTGTAATTGATCCTATGACCCATGTCATTAGAAGGACAGCACAAAGATTTTGTAGGGATAGTTGGCTCTTATTCTCTGAAAAGCAGCAATGTAGCAAATTTAAAATATTGATTACGCATGACTTCCCATCACATGAATTAGAAAGGATTAAAATCTCTCAGGTACATATAAATAGTAAACTACTTCCCTTTTATTCTCCATCAAGTATTAAAAGCCAGGTTGGCTCTAGTTTCTGCAGAAGAGCTGTGAAAGGTGAATGGAACTGCTTAAGGACATTTAATTTTTCTAAAAATGCTGCCATAACAAGTATTTCTTTCTCAGTATCTTAAAAAAGCAAGTAAGATTATAGCACCTTTACTACCTTATCGTTTTTATCAACAGTAGAGTTCAAGGGAAAAAAAATCGAAATCACAGGAAGATTAAAAACTATAGGCATTTCTCATAATGAGCCACGTGATTTGACACGTATCCTTTTTTTCATTAAGCTTATGTTATCTTATGACATCTTGACACCTATTAATTCTTCTTGTGGATTCAGTATGGATTCTCAAACCTCTTAAGGCTAAGTACTACCTACCAAGTTTTAATCCTCAACAGACTGCACATACAATGTGATTCCATGGTATCAAGTAGCGACGGCATCTCAGCTTGTGTAAACACGTTCCATGCCGTTCACACAGGGACATCTCCTAACACAACCTCCTGACGTCTCTCCAGAATGTTCTCCCATTGTTAAGCCGTGCACCACTTCACATGGTTTTCTTGCAAATGCCAAAGAGAAAGTTCAGTTTCTTCCCCCCACCCCCGCTATTTCTAATCTACAGGTTTCAACACACAATTGAAGAAAATCATCTCAATGCACCATAAGTCCACTTTTTCAATTTCAGATATTAATGATTTAAGCTTTTGTGCTTCGGTGTAGAAAAATTAAATCCCCTGAAAGAAGTTCATAAGCATTGAAAAGGCCCCAGTCGGTGTTTGCTGCACATCTGGCAATAATGAAGACAAATTAACAATGAGATTTTGAAAATCTGGCAATATGATAAAACCAAAACATTCGAAGCTCCTTCTCTGTGCTTAGTCACTGGTGGTCCCAGGAAGCGTCAACTTCCTGTCTTGGGTTCTGGCATCTAAATGAAAGGAAGGAAATCCTACTGCAATCCGGGTTCCAGGCTTGTGGCTCACAAATAACAAAGGTCTGAACTCACTAAGCAGGAAAACTTTATCCCCAACAAATCCTTAGAAGAATCTGCTTTTCTTACAGCTGCGTTCAATTTACTTCAAAGAACTGACAATGGCATAAAGTCACACCTCCAGTGCTTATTTTTTAAAAAACTTATTGTGCTATATTAGTTCTTTTCATGATATCTAACTTGGCTGGAACTACTGCAACTAGGTTTTTGTGTTTTTTTTCTTTAAACTACACATACCAACATGAATTTACCAAGGCAAAAAAAAATTTAGTTTTATTGTACAAATTATTAAACTTAATCACTTCATCCCATGCAATTAAACGCTCACCAGGTTTGGGAAGACATTGCTATCCAATCCTATTTAAAAGAAACACTTTGAATTAATGGAGTGAATGCTCAGTTTTAACAAGTAAGGGCTGTGATGATCAAAGTAGAAAAGAATTTTGTTAACTCTTCAAACATGCCTCAGAATACTACAAATAGATCATTTTCCCACAAACTGCTCATCCAGGAAAAAAAAAATCAGTAAGAATAGAAAATATTCTAGCAGCATTCCATTTCAAATTTGAAACAGTGGATGAAAATTTACCTCTGGCTTCACCACGTGAGCTCTAGACATGTGAGACAAATAATAAATGGGATGGCAAAATGTGGCACTATTTGGGCAAGCAGAAGGCATTAGACCACGTGAGGCATGACTGTGATTAAGAAGGCATGCGCTGAGCAGTGCTTTAAGCAAGGGGTTTTTAAGCTGCATCACACCAGAATACAGAACCACAGCATTTTTTTGTTAGCAGGATTAGGAACAAATTCATGTACCTCAAATCTTTGTGGCACTTTCTCACTTACAATGCGCCTTCACATATACCTACGTGGTTTGGACCCGTATCAGAACAACTCTGAAAGGCACACAACATGGTCACTTTTGTTCCCACTTTAATGAACTAAGTACAATTTTTCATCAATTTGAGACATGATCATCTGAGCTAATTAAGTCCAAACCATGTTGAAAACAATAAAGATTGTTATCATATAAATGGAGCTCAGCATCAAAATGACACCTTTTATTAAATGTAATGTGCAAAATAAAACGAAGTGATCTCTATTGAAAAAAGGTACAAGACGGGTATTATTTTAAAACACTTTAGTACTCAGTTTCAATAAAAAGAAATCTGGCATTATAAAAATACATAAAACAGTCAGGGATTTATACCATTAATTTACATAAGATACTTTTTGCATAAAACAACATTATAAAATAGTTTTAAAGGGGATATTTTTATATGAAAGTTACTCCCAGTATAAAATTTTTATAACTTTTTGTCATTTTGGTTCATCTGTATAAATAAAGCACTTTATCCTTTTAAAATTCATAGCTCCATTTAAAAACATAGGATTCTCTGTCTTTTTTTAAATAAAAGTCCACATGAGGTAGTATGTTAAAATTTCCTTTGGTCCCATTCAGTCTATGTGTCCAAAGCATAAGACTGAAAAGTTGGAGTCCTATAGTTTCCTAAGGTCTGTTTGTAGGAACATGAGGGATTTTCTTCCTGAACACCTGTCCTTTCCCTCTCTTCTTCCTCTGACTCAGAGTCCAAGCCTGGGGAAGACGAAGGTTTCAAGTGGCAGGCTCTGGAATGACCGTCTGGTGTCTGTCCAAAACTGGAAAAGGCTTCCAGGTGTGATCTCCTCAGAGGTTTTCCAAATGTACCTGAAAGAAAGAAAAAAAAAATCCCTTGAGTGCATGGGTCCTTTTCTATCAGATACAGGTAGACACAACACATTTCAACTCTCCAGCCATCCCACCCTTGAACGCAAAGTGGTCATCCTTGCCAGTGCACTGTGCAAGGTGTGCGCATGTCTGAGCATGGACAGAACACACACACGAGGCCCACAGAGCCACGTGGAGAGGCTGCGGATGGTACTGTGAGCAGGGTGTGTGTATGTGTCCCTTCTCGCTTATTTACAGGCTCGAAGCAGATGTCTCCATTCTTTACTCTTTACCGGGTGTCCTGTCCTAGAGTGGCATTTATCAATGCACAAGGAAGTGGCTCAAAAATTAGTTACAGTGCTCCAGGTCCTGTAACTAATTCAGGAAGTGCATCTGCAGTGTCACAGACAAGAAAACTGCCCAAATACGGAATAGCCTCTGTTAAAAGAATCTTTCCCTACTCAATGGTGACAACCTCTGACTCGATTTCTGTCTCCATCTCGGTCAATAAAATGCGGTTTTCATTTTCTCAAACAGAGACAGAAATCACTGTACCGAGGGGTGGGGGTGGGATTTCTTAAATGCTGGGCAAAATGTTTTAAACTTCCATCTTGTTTACTTTGAACAAAACAAAACAAAACAAAAACAGGGGAAGTTGTGGCTCTTTTTTTTTTCCATATTGCTCCATCAGTAAAAAGCTGAGCCAAGGTCTTCCACCCGACCCAGACACCCACCATGGAATCTCAAGGACCAGCGTCTACCACCACCACCACCACCACCACCACCACTATGGGTTGTCCGGCCCTGGTAGCCTCCTGTTGGCAAAGGTAGCTGTGCTTGTCTGACTGGCGGCTGTTGCTAGGTAGGGCACCGTTCTCCACCCTGCTCCTGCGGGTTCAGCTAGAAGCCAGCAGACACAGCAAACCACAGTCATGCCAAGCACACGGCTCCACCCCAAAGGCTGCTGGAGCCCAAAACCACTTTTTCCACATGGCTGACGAGCTGAGCTCCTGAGTCGCTCCCCAAGCCCTGGTTTTCTAGACGATGCCACACACAGCGTTACCCAGAAAGCTCCTAAGGCAGCCTTGGCTGCAGATTAAATTCATAATCAAGAAAAATCCCCACCTTGGACTTTTCTATTAACTAGTTTGGAAAAGAAGCAAAAAGAGATACCACTGTCACCAGTGTGGCTCTCACAGGGCGTTGGTGTAGTTACTTGGTGTAGGGGCAACAAGGCACCTCGCGATTTAAGAAACTTACCCATGAAACAACTGCTTGGAGTAACGGACATTAGCTCCGGGCTGGTGCTGAACTCAACAGAGGACTTGTCTAGACACCTGCTTTTTGTTCCAGGGCCTTCATTGGGTGCACAGCTGGAATGCAGGAGCTTCCTCACATGAGAAGGCCATCCTAGCCTACTGGAGCTCCGTTCACAGGATTCTTCCGCAGGGTGAGAGCAAGGGGGGCACTCCTGTTTCTTGACATAACTGGACTCATAGGGATCAAGTAAAGCTGCTCTTGGGTCAGGACTGCAACCTGTTGAATTGGGGAATGACATCAGGAGGACACTCAGTGAGTGCTTCTAGAAGAATCTCCACAGGCAATGGAATAAGATACCCAGCCAACAAAATCCCCTACCTGCATGATAAGCTTCCAGTGGATCTGTGCTGTAACCACTCCCCTTCAGGTACACAGGTCCCGGGGAGCCCAGGAAGGGACAGAGGAGCGGGTCCGTGGCAGCTTCCACCTCGGCCTCGCTGCTGTTGTCTATGTGGCAGTTCCCTGGACAACAGAAACCTCAGTCAGTGCACCTGCACCTCTTTAACCCAAGTGTCCTTTGTTGGCATTCTAAGGGGTGCGCTTGATGTCTAGATCGAAGTTCAGGTAGAGGAAAAGTTGCAGGAATTGACAATATTTTTAAAGTTTATGTTGGCCTGTGCATTGATAAATGAATCTATTTGTGACATCTCCCTGAAAAGGACTTGAGGAACCAGTGTGCTAGGCGTCACCCTTGTTCCTTCACCCCATTTGGCTTCCAAGGGAAATGGAACCAGGGTATGGCTCCAGCGGGACAAACAGCCACGGGCTGGAACCATGTTCTGCCACACTGTACTCTCTCACAGAAGGTCACAGAGGACCAGGACCAGTACTGGGCATTTGACCAGTGACCTCTAAAAAAACTCACAGGTGTATACACTAAGCCACACAGAAACAATAGGGCAATTAGGAGTGGACACAGTGATCTGAGCTAAGTAGCACCACTGAGGACAGAGAGGTTGTGATGGGCCTGGTATCTGCTTCCAGCTGTCAGAGGGAAGCAGGCCTGCAGGATGTGACTCAGCTGTGTCCTCGCAGTAGACCTTCCCCAGGAACCACCTGGCTTCCCACTATGGCATGCTCCACTTGCATCTCACTAGGCCTGCACTGATGTCTTTTCGGTTGGCCCCACTGTGTATGCATGGGCTTGAATATCCGAATACATGCTGTGGGGCTCAGCACTGCTCTTCTAACTGGACTGCTCCATCACTGACTGGCCAGGCACTCAGTAAGTTGACAAAAATTTGTATTTCTCCCCACTGACTAAAGTGTGAAACGGAAAAACAACCTCCTTCCCAACTATGAAGTCGGGCACAGAGTAAACACTCAAGAAATAAACACTGGTGAAGATAGAGGGTGAAATGTTTGCAACGACATCAACAGCTTCCACGGAGGGTCCCTCACACGTACCAAGCACTGTGTAGTTTTCCATGTTCATTGGATAGAAGAGCAGTGACTGCCCAGCGGGACGAGGGCAGTGGGCTTGGAGCCAAGCCTGTGCTCCTGTCTCATGCTGCCTATGTCATTCTTCCCAAAGCCATCGGCTCTGAAGACACTCATCAGCTGAGGCTTCTCTAATAGCTGATTTTAAATCGTTCCTCTTTTCATGTTGGTTAAGTATGGGGATCACTTAAGGTGCAGGGACACTTGTGACATAAAGGGAATACAACATTGCACAGAATAATTAAATTTGACTTGTCTCGTTTCATGGTAGGAAACAAAGACTTTTTTCCCCTGCTCGTGATGAGAAAGGTACAGTCCTACAGTCTCAGCCTTGCTAGTGATCCTGGCCCAAGTTCTGCCTAGCAGTGTACCCATTTCCTGTGAGGAAGAATTTCAGATCTGAGCTCTCCACCATAGGACTTGGAAACAACCGCAGCCCATGTTCACCTCACACACTTACCATTACTGTCATGCTGTGGCAAGAAAAATGCCCCGCCCGAATTCGTGATGAACTGGTGGTGACTGCCACTCTCGGATGAGATGTACCCATCCTGTCTGTCAGCCAGCGTTCCTTGGGATGACAGGTAGCTGGGGATATCTGCAGGCAAGTTGGTCTCATCTGTAACCACAAAACAGCAGGCTATTGGCTAAGAGCTCTCAGAAGCATTCCACAGGCTTCCTGGAGGAATGGTCTCCATTCGGCCAGCAAGGGGTGGGATATGACTCCAACAAAGCTAGATTTTCCTAGAGTATCCAGGGAAGGCAAATGGGGAGCCTGGGAAGTTGGTAATCTGGGAAGTTGGAGATGATTTTTCTACCCAAATCAGCAGCTGGACGCATCTCCCAAAGTTCAAAAACAACACAAGTTTCCAAAGACAAAGGCATAAGAATTTTCATGGAATAGCATCCAAGCTCTAGAATTAGGTTAGACTTTTGCCACGTTGGTGGCTTCACCGAGGGTGCTCAGATGCAGGGAGCTTCCAATCAGAAAGAAAGCAAATTGGCCATCAAGTCCCCACCCTATCTCCACTAAAATCCTTCCCTGGACTGGGATACCGTAAACCAACAACACAAGTGATGGCCTCACACAGCAAACCTGGCTGCTGAGCGTCCAGGACTCTGACACCCACGAGAGGAAGGGCAGCCTGCTTTGTGCTCTGATCCAGATTCTACCTCACAGCCAATAGGAAATGCTGATGAGCTCCAACAAAAAGGTGCCCCTTTGGAAACATAAGCTTTGCTTTAGACAAGAGCTAGCCATGCTCTCTGCAGCTTGAAACCCACGAGTCACCTCCCTGATGGGGCTCCAGTTATGAGACCCACATTCCAGAACAAGATGGTGGGACCCCATACACATGGGGTGCTCCACCCAGAGACGCAACGACAAGCACCTGTTTTACCCACCTGTGTTGGTGATGCTGCAGTCTTCGTTCCTCCGCCTCGTGTGGTAAATGATGATCACCCACACAAGCGACGTGCCCACCACGCAGCACACCACGGCTATGATCACAACGCCCACGGTGGCCCACCCGTCATCGTCCAGTGACGGAGCGGTCATCTGTGGGGAGTCGCAGGTGGGCGTGGGGATCACACTGAGGCGCACGTGGCCTCTCTCTGTGCCGAGGGTGTTAGACATTTCGCACGTGTACTTTCCAGCGTCGCTGACGTCCGAGTCCACAATAATCAGCAGTTGATTGCCGGCTGCGAAAAAGTGCCTTTCGGTCACCACCAAGGGGCTGTCATCCTTGGTCCAGTTCAGCTTCGGAGGAGGGCTGCCCCCAGCGATGCACTGCAGGACAGCTGTCTCGCCCTTGCTGACTGTTCGGTCTAACAGGGGCCGCAGAAACGATGGGGTTTCTGAAAGCACAAAGATAGTTTCAAATCTCCTAAGTGAAATTCCGTTTCTGCATCTTTCACATTGCTAAGATCCTGCACTCGAATATGCTCATGTGAAATCTGACTTGCCCGCAACTGCCTGGACATGCCATTAGACTCTCAGCACAGACAACATTTTAGAACATTTAGGATCTCCTTGCTCTGTTGTCGTTTGCCTGTAACACAAATTTAAGGATAGCAGTTACTATTGTTTTTACCTCAATCTCCCTTCCTCTTTCCAAGGTTAGGAAACTGATGGTGGTAGGAAAAAATAATTTTGAAACCATTTTTTTTTTTTTGTAAATATTTACAAAACAACTGTAGGCCTTAAGAACAAGTTGATGGACTGGGGTTGTGGGGAGTCAGAATATCTTGATTTTTTTTAAGCAAAATTTCCTAGTGTTTAAGAGTTAGAGAGTAGAGGTCTGGAAATGGTCTATTTGTACTCTCTGGCATCTTATTTATCACTTTATCTGAGTGATCAATGTGTTCATGATTTTAGAAATCATTTGGCTAGGTACAAGAGTTAAAAACAAAAGAATCCCAATTGCCAGAGCAGGATATGGTAAACAGAATGGATGCTTCCTAGCTTGGACACATCTTATTTTGTTTTTATCTACATAAAATGAGTAGATTTCTTATTTGTTTCTGAACATTTGCTTTATACTGTAAGGTGTATGGGATGGTGTGCACATTGGAGGAGGTGTCTTCTACAACAAGGGGCAGCATCAAAGTTACTCCAGTCGTTTCCTGGAAACACAGGGGGCAGATTCATGCCACTGGCCAGGGACTCGAAGCTGCGAGGCGCTCTCCAACTTCCAAGCTGCCTGAAGGTCAAGGGGAAAGGGCAGTCCCCTAAAGGATTTTTCTTGCCCTCCTTACTCCTGGCACAGGCGCCTACCTAGGACGGTCAGCGTTGCATTTGCAGAGATGCTTCCTGCACTGTTCTGGGCTGTGCAGCTGTACACCCCAATGTCCTCAATCTTCACGTCCACAATGAAGAACACGTCATCCTCGGGCATCACATGCATGCGCCTCTCCCTCGCTGCCGGGAAGTCTGTGCCCCCATCCTTCTGCCAGGCGATCTGCGGGGCCGGATGCCCCTCAGCGGCACACTCCAGCCGGGCCATGGCTCCGGCACGGATGGTGAGGTCCATGGGAGTCTTGGTGAATGAGGGAAGCACTGAAACCAGGAAGGAAAACATCATGGGACTGAGTGAGTGCTGCGTGTTCCCCAAGGTTTCCCCACGCTTCTTACTAAACTCTCACTCTTTGCGTCCCTGACACCATTAAGGCAGGGGTTGCTGCCAATTTCAAGACGTGGGGAGGAGCGCTGAAATGGAGATATTATAAACGCTTGCTCAAGGTTCCATTTGCACAGAGTCTAGAGGACGCACGGGTTGCCAGATCCCTGGACTAAAGGTCTTCCTGCTCTTGGCTCACCACTTTCCAGTTTCCTCTATAATTAACTGTGAGACAGTGGCCAAATCAACTCATCTCTTTGAACTTCGACCTCTCACGACAACCCTCTCCCCCTTTTTAGAATCCCCTCCAGCGACCTTAGCAGTCTATAGCGTTCTACGAGCTCCATCCTGAAACTCATACTCAAAAGCTGTTCCGTGTACGAGGTCTCAGCAGCCATCATCTGAATGGATGCATCACACAGTCCAATCCCTAGGCCTCCACCACAGTAGACACAAAGCACTGAGTGATTAAGCAGCAAATTGTATGTCTGCCACACAAGGCCATTGTAACACCCTTTTAGGATTAGCAGCAGTGGCTATTTCTTGAATTTGCTGAGCACAATCTACATCCCGGGGCAATCTGCTAAGTGCTTTACACACAATGAATTATTCAAAGAACATAATACCTTCATGCTATAGGCACTAGCTACTCTGTGAGCTCCTCTGTCGGAAGAGTGCATCACGAGCTCTCAAGGAGAAAAGGAACCACGTGGGGTTCATCTCTACCCAGCTCACCATGTCGAATACAGCAACCTTTACCATGACAACTGCTGACTTTGTGGACCGAGAGGCAGGGAAAGGAAGAGTGGGTGCGGAACCACGAGAAGAAAGAAAGAACAGTTATGAATGCGATGAAAGAAACCTGGCGCTGAGCTCACAATGCCAAAGCAAGGCTCAGATCACATACTATTGACGGTGAGTTTGGCTTTGACGGAGTACGATGAGCCGAAGTGGTTGGAGATGACGCACTGGTACTTCCCTTCGCTGGCAAACTCCACGCTGCGCAGCCGCAGGATGGTGGTGTACTCCATCACCTCGCCGCCCTGGGCCCGCAGGTGGGCGTAATTCTCCATCTCGGCATCATGGAGAAGTTCATTGTCTTTTTTCCAAGCAAAGGTCATTGGGGAGTCGCTGCTGCTGGCAGCCGAGCAGATGAAACTCAAATTGGAGCCTTTTATTGCCGACTGTGTTTCTGGCTGCACCGTGATCTGTGGCTTGGGAAAGTCATCTGTGCGGGAGGAAATAAAGCAATTGTGAAGGCTTGTGAGGCTCGAGTCGGAATGCCGGGACATGCACGGCAAGCAGCAGCCCCACGTTCACCCTGTGTGCATACTTGACCGACAGAGCAGCCGTTTCAGGGTGCTCACAATCCTGGGAGACCAGCATCCATGATTCCTTCATTGAACAGAGACGGAGACCTACTAATCCATCACCACTACTGGACAGAAGACTAAGCCTTTGGAACTCTCAGAAAACTCATGGATTATTGCAGAGCCCCTGTGATTCCCAAGCCAGGCTCGTAGGTCATCTCGGAAGGCTGCAGTCAGGAACTACAAGTTTCCCCATGTTCGCCGCGAATAAGGAGCAGGAGAATAAAGAAAGCTGCCATCCAGTGTGATCACCAAGATAGCTAAAACAGTGATTAGCATCTCATTTGCCAAAAACAGAGTCGGTATTTAAAAAAAAAAAAAAAGGAGCAATTTAGGTAGAGTCAAGAAGGGAGCAAAGAAATCTCATTGCCAACGAAAAAGCATCTACGCACTAACCCTGAGATGTCAGCTGTGCTTGGCGTCTGGAACAGCCAGTCAATCACGATGCCGCGCTACACTGTCAAGGCTACATTATAATTAGAGCTAAGCGACTCTTTCATTCTACACAGTTATTTTTACTTCTGTCATGCCTGCAGAAAAGTTACCTTTTTAAACTTCAGTTTCTTTGGAGATAATGTCTATCTAAATGTGAATGGCAACATCTCAGATTTACCCAAATGCGTTGTGTGGATGCTCTGGGGGCAAAAAAAAAAAAGTTTGCGGCTGTAACTGGGCTAAGGAGCATGCTCCGATAACTCCATTACTGCCCCTTTTCCATGCTGTGCCTGCAGGTTGTAAGCATGGTGGCTTCCTCTGCACGATTAGCCTGAAATTCTTATCTGATACAATCGATGTTCAGATTTCACAACGGGGCAGAGACGAGAACAAGGGGGATCTTGGTTCATGCCTCCAAGTAATGGGGAGCTGACAGCACGGGCCTTGAGCACTGGGAAGTAAGGACCCTGGGAATGGAGGACTCAAGCCCTTCCAGTAGCAATGCCAAAAGCTCATTCAAATCCAAAAGCTACAGCAGAGGTTTTATTTCCAAAAACTGCTGGCACCGTCAATACTCTTAAAAAATATATATATATATATAGATAGATAGATAGATCCATTGTAGGCAAAGCAATTTTAAGTAAATTTAAAAATGCCAACAGAAAATAAGGTTGTGTAACATTTTCAGACTGCTTAAAGCATATTTTCATTTCGGGTTTTGTCCTAACATGTTTACGTTCTAAAACAACTCTGCAGCAGCTAATAATAAACAACAGTGTAATGCAGCACACAGGAAACAGTGCCAGGGATTTTTTTTTCAAAAGATATTTTTTTAATCCAGATCTGCTATTAACTAGTAAGTTAAATCTCCTACGCTGAAACCTCTGGATATTAAGACAGTGGACCTAAAAAAAAAAAAATCCCTACGAAATTCACACTTCCTACTACTTGCTTTGCCCACAGATAGTGATTTTAACAGCCCATAAATTAGCTGGTAATTTTCTCTTTCTCACCCGCCTCCAACAACCCAGAGTTGGAAAGAAGCGATAACAGCAGCCCCACTTCATAGCCACAGACACAAAGACTTAGCGGATGTAAATGAACTCGAAGGTCTGCCTGGCCATTCTCCCAAGATCCAATTTCGCTTGCTTTCCTCCCATCCGCCCTGATGCCAAAACAAAGATGAAGGAATTTCAGAAAACGCTTTCCCATCTGTGAAATTAAAATAATCAGCAAAGCATAGCTCCATTTTCGTCCACCTCAGCACAAACACACACTTTCTGGAGCCAACCCGAGTCTGTTCAAAGCTGTATTTGAACATAGCGGAGAACAAGAAGAACACCTCCCAGGCCAGGGCAATGCCAACACTCACCACACACAAAGCCGTCGGGGCTCACAGCAAAAATACTTCTTCCTTTCAGCAGCTGAGGATGGGCACAGCTGGCATTGACAAAGCTCTGAAAGTGGTTCTCAGCCACCCACTGAGGAAGCCACTTGAGTTGGCAATCACACAAAAGGCTGGATGTATTTAGATGCCTGAGGAGAGGAATCACATTCAATTTATTGTGTATGAAACACAGATTTCTACAAGTAAACTAAACTTAAGTAAATATTAACAAAGCAATGAATCTGAGAGCCAAAGACACACATCCCACATCATAAATATTCCATAGTCCAAGTAAAAATTCAAGAAATGTAACTGGCATGGCTTTTGCTTTTACTGTTGATCTTACTGTCATACTGGAATGGAACTGCTGAGCTGTTCAGATATTCTTTACTACCAGAAAGTTGTCACTAACTTTAGGCACTATACTATAGTTGGTCCTACAGATTTGAGTTTGAAATTCAGAACAGAAGAACAAAGAAAATCTCTGTTTTAACAGAGGAAACAGATCACCAATTTCTTTTGTTTTTCTGGTATGCAGATTAACCCGTGTCAAGAACATGCCAGACACAGAAACCAGGATGACATAACACAGGGCAGTGTTCCCCTCTTCCCCCGCACCCCCGGCTGTGTGTTTTATTTAGGAAAAGCAAAAAACTTACAATTGCTGAAGTTTCTTCATTTGTGAAAAGGCATTGCCTTGTAAAGACATGATTGCATTGTCACTCAGGTCTCTGTGAAAGAACCAAGTCAAATCGATCAGAGTAGACCATGTTTGGGCAGGGTGACCCAGGCTAAGGCTGGGTCCATGCTTACCATCTCCGTCACCACACGGGCACAAGCTCCATGTTGAGAGGCACAAATCAGGCTGCCCCCAAGAGCCCGTGGCAGAGCCTGGGCTGGGGAATGAGGCTATCTGTGTTAGGGACAGATCCTCCCTCAAAGTGTTAGGTGTCTTACATGTCAGTTGTGTGACATGAGCCCAAGCTGTTCTGCTGTATTTTTTTTTACTGTTCCCCATCTTCAAATTAATAACTTTTAAGATGCAAATAAAATCCATTAGGACTATGCTTCCAGGAAAACATCGCGTACAGGCTACAACATACCCTCTGTGCGTTGTTGTATCTATATTGTCATATGGACTCTTAAAGTAACCAAAAAGAAGACAAGCTCAGCATGAAGAGGGAAGATAAGAGCTGAGCCAATTATTTTAGAGGACCAAAACTATGCTTTTCCAACCACTAGCCTAAGCTTGCCACACACAGCTCACTAATAGAAAGGCAGTTAAGATGCTCAGACAAGATGTACTTGTTAAAACAAACATACTTCAGCCAGGACATTCATAAAATGAGAGGATATTCAGGGTTGATTTTATTTTTAACTCGTATTTACCAGCAACTTGAATTTCAGTATTCTCCCCGGTGCTTACTGCTCTGTTTCTCTTTACCAGGGTCCGAGCATAGCAAAGGGGTTTTGAACAAGATGAGTGGCAAAGGAAGACAAAGTAAGAAGGTGCCAGATTTGGGGAGAGAAGGAGGCTGGGAAATTCAAGGAAGGCAAAAGAAAACTGAAGCAGCGGCTGATACTTCACTGATCCACTAATTCCACTTTCCCAGAAATGGAATGGGACAGATGACAAACCCTTTTGGCTAGTTTTCCTTTGAAAATAATCTCTCCGTCAGTACAGCAAGACTGACCCTCCCTTCCCCAACTCAGTCTTACCAAATGGTTTTATTGCAAACTAAACTACTGCACAGTTAGGATGGTAGCCAGTTCAAGTTCCTCTTAGGCCAACAGCCAGAAGATGACAACAAAGTGGTTTATACAGAACAGAAATCTTCACTGCACAAACCAATGCAAGCATCCGATGTGTATATTTTTTTAATACACGACAGACACAGAAAAACAAGAAGAGGTTCTTTCTACTGGCAGTTGGGGCTAAAGCAGACATATATCCGGAGCCTGAAACTCAACCTGGGTCCCCCACATGCACAGTGTGAACTCCAGTGCCTCCCCTGAGCGCACACCAATAAGAAGTCAGATTGGGCACTAAAGCCTGGACCTGAATCTAGGCATTTTGATACGTGGTCAATCTAAGCCAAGGGATTTTTTTTTAGATGTATTTATTATTGGAAAGTTAAAGAGATAGATCCATCTTCTACTAGTTCTTTCCCCAGACGCCTGCAATGATTTGGGCAGGGTCAAGCCAACGCCAGGACTTTCATCTGCATTTCCCATCTGCAGAGCCCCACACACTTGGGGTGTCCTCTGCTGCCTTCCTAGGCCATTAGCAGGATAATGAATGGGAAGTTGGGCTAAGGATCAGCACTCATGTGGGATGCCAGCATGGCAGGCAACGACTTTCTGCTATGCCACAACACTGGCCCTGCCAAGTGGCATCTTAACTGCTAAGTCACATGTCCATTTTAAATGATCACTTCTTTTGTCTAAATTAAAAGATTAAAAAAACTTTTTGGGTCATAAGCATTTCCTAACTGAGCATTCATATCATACATTATCAATTACTACATACTTATATTCTGTAAGCATAAAACACATTCCAAACTTTATAAGCAGTTGATTGGTTCAGTTAGACAAAACACAGTGCTCATGAAAGTTTTCACTGCTGTCAAAGTTAGCTAGCTTTCTGCTATTGTCTGAAAATCCTTGAGCCAGAACCTTTCAGAAAAGAGACAATACAGAGAAATAGTATTAGAAATAGAATAGCCTGACATGTGCCAAATGCCTACGATGTGGCAACTTCTATTAGAAATTAAAAATATTGCCATGAGTAAAACAACTAAAAATGAAAACAACTAAAAATGAACTCAGTAATAATATTTAGAAACATTTTTGGATAGTAAAGAAAATGTGTACCTGTATACTTCTGTCCAGTTAGATACAAAAGTATGAGGGAACTTTAAAAAGTCTGTTGGAAATTGGAATTGGAAAAATAGGTTTCAGAATCCTGCCTCGTGGTGTAAACCTGCTACCTGCAGTGCCGGCATCCCATATGAGCACCAGTCCACATTCCAGCCACTCCACTTCCAATCTACTGTGCTACTAATGGCTGGGAAAAGCAGCAGAAGTTGGTCCAAACACTTGGGCCCCGGCTGCCCACATGGGAAGCCAGGGTCTATCCATAGCCACTGTGACTTTCTGTGTGTGTGCGTCTAATCTATTCAAACAAATAAATAAAATCTTTAAAAAATGAATAAATAAAATAAAATACAGGTTCCTGTTTCCTGGCTTCAATCTGGACCAATCCTGGCTATTGCAGATATTTAGAAAGTGAACCAGTAGATCTTTCTCGGTCTGTCTGTCTTTCCAGTAAAATCAAAATAAATTTAAAAACATAAACATTTTTAAAATGAAAAGATAAGCTTATTTAGGTACCAAAAAATATTTGAAATCTGCACTCTTTTTTCTGAATACACGTTTTCCAAAGCCTTTTGGAGGACCTCACAGGGGTGGGTTAAATGGGTAGGTAAATAGATGGGTAAGTAGTATGGCACTGGGTAAATGCCAATTCTAGTGTTTTGTCACATGGACAGATCACTGTTTCAGATTACCCCCAGGTAAAAAAATTCCAGCTACTTACAGATGTTCCAGTGCATCCAAACCAGTAAAAGCTTTTTTGGTAATAGATCGAATCCGGTTTCCCTGGAGAATTCTGGAAAAAAATAATTATCCCATTGGAATAGTTAATCAAAAAAAAAAAAAAAAGATTATTTTGTGGACAGAACTTAGGTTAAAAAGAATTGTGTTTTAAATGATTGGGCAATCATTTTATTTTCCTCAATTAAACATGGTTAGTAAAATGTATCCAATGACAATCCCCAAAGTCCTAAGCATTCAGAACAATTTAAAAGTCCCATCTGGATAGTAAAGCCCTTATGCCAAGAGAAGAAAGCAACTTAACACACATTTAACAGCACTCAAGTAAGGAAATGGTAAGGGTTCAGTAACACCCAGCTCAAGCACCTGTTTCTGCAACTGACTTCAACTAAGACAGAATCTTACTGGCAAAGAATGAGCCAGGTTGTGAGACCACTCATACTCACAGGCGCCTCAGCTTGTCAAGTCCGGAGAAGGCACCGTTCATGTCTTCAATCGTCCAGGAAATCTCATTGTTCTTCAGGTCCCTAATGTTGAGATTAGCTTTAGAGCTTGGCTCACAGATCCCAACTCCCCATCTTGTCAGCAAATTGCTGGCCGCCTCATCGTGCCCCAACTCTTCCACAATGGAACATAACTCTTCACTCAGTGTAGGTCTGACGCCCTGGTCCTCCTCCCCAGGAACATTCCCTTTGTGTGTGTGTGTGTGTGTGTGTGTGTGTGTGTCCATCCAAATCACAACGATGGACTCTGCCCTTGTTAATTCCTTTACCAGGACAACTAAATTATGGAAGACCCGAATGCTTCAAAAAAAAAACTACATTAACTTTTAAAACCCCAGTTCCAACCACACAAAGCAGGATTTTGCCAATATACACAGATGTCTCTCAGTTATGTAATGCATCAAGCCGTGAATAGAGCCAAGTCAAGAGCCAACCATACAATGTTAAATGAACAACAGAGAGTTCTCCAAGGTCAAGGAACGCAGCACCCACTTCATTTCCTTAGGCATCTGATGAGAGTGACAGACATCTTCTGTGGCTGTCCTTCTATTTCTTTATTGCCTTGACTCATGTTTAGTTCGTATTTTACACACACAAACCAGAAAAAACCCAAAACAAAAAACCCTAATGGAGTGAAACCAGCTTTGCTCTTTAGCGGCTTCCAACTTTCTGGTGACATCACCAAACAACCTGGTCACGTAAGGGTGAGATGCATCCACCTTGTTAGTTAACCTGACCGCTACTGAAGGTGTCCACATTTCCTTGACAACACAGGAAGTTGGTTTGGATAAAACTGGTACATTCAGTGATCAGTTGGGTTTGGATAGCAAGAGCCCATGTGTAACTTACAGCGTCTTTAGACTGGAAAGCCCCCGGAAGGCACAATCCGCAATGTAGCTGAGTCTGTTGTTTCCAATGTGCAGAGTATTCAGTAAGCTCAGGCCCAGGAAGCTTGAATCATCTAATCTTGATAAGTGATTGAAAGTCAGGTCTCTACAAAGAAAAAAAAAAAAAAGGCAGCTTTCATTTTTCAATGTGACGCAATGATTTGTTTTGCAAAAGACAGACTGACTAAATGTACCTGCAATAATCCCTCTTTGAAAAATCCTGTCTTAACAGGTACTCAGGTAAACACTATTTCTAACCTCGGTAATTAAAAAGAAACAATACCTGCTCTTCATTTAAAAATAACCATCCTGGTTGCTGTCAGTGAGGCACAGAGCCACAACAGCAGGGCTGGCTTTGACTTATCACAACAAATCTGTGACTAGGGTGTGTGTGAAAAGAGCTGTCACCTTGGGAACTCTGTTAGGAACATTTCACAGCTGAGTGGTAAGAAGCTCATGTGCTGGCACGACCCCTGCTCTCCAAGCTGAGAAGAAAAGGCATACTCACAGCTCACTGAGCTTCTGACAGAACTCCCAGGCATCTGGGCTGATCCTGGTGATGGCATTCTGGCTGAGATGCAGCTCCTGCAGCATCAGCAAGCCGTAAAGCCAGCCTTTGGTGATCTCGGTGAGGTTGTTGTGGTCCAGCTGACTGCATTGTGACAATAGGAACCAAAGACAGGAGCAAAGTTTATTCCGTGATCTCTTCAAAGGGGACGTGTAGTTACAATCTATTCCATACTATTACTGGATATTCAGTTTTGGTTATATGAAGATATCAGCAATAAATGGGATAAATTCTTTTTTATTAGATTTAATTTTTTAAAAAGTTGAAAGGCAGAGAGAGAGAGAGAGAGAGAGAGAGAGAGAGAGAAGCAGAGACAGAAAGAGCTCCCACGCATCGGTTCATTGCCCAAATGCCTACGATGGCTAGTGCAGAAGCTGGGATTTCAATTCAGGCCTCTCACGTAGAAGGCAGGAAACCAACGACCTGCACCACCGTGACTGCCAGCCAGGGTCCACATTAGCAGGAAGCCAGAGCCAAGGATTGAACCCAGGTACTTCGATGTGGGACCCCAGCATCTTACCCACCAGGACAAACACCTGCTCCCTATAGGTTCTTATGGTTTATGTGTTTATAAAGTTGCAGTCACATAGCCTGAAATAAAACAGATGCCAAATTCTGGAAAGATGGTAACCTTCTGAGATTTTAACGACAGATTTCCAATATGAGCCGCAGAATATTCACTGGGTGGTTTTCAATCACGTAACTTGAGATATTTTGCTAAGCTGCACTTACAGGATTTCCATGTTGCTCAGGCCCCAAAATGCTCCATCCATAAGCTTTGTCACGCCATTCCTTTGCATTTTCAGTGACTTCAGAGCACCAAGCCCTTGGAATGTGAGTCCATCTACATTTTTAATCTTGTTTCGGTTCAGTTCACTGCAGTGGATATTAGAATTAAATAGTTATGTATAAATGACATGTTTCGAAGGTAGCAATAAAATGTTATTACAACATTGTATTTCAGCCGGCTAGGGTTGAATTACATAGAATGTTTCAAATGTCTTCAAATACTCTCCTTGAGATGTACGTCTGCTTATTGAAATGTGTTACGTATTTCTAGAACAATAAAATACGAATATTAGGCTGTACTTTCATTGCAAACTGTTGTCTACTTAATAAGAAAACAAATTAGTATTTGTAATTAGGTGATCAAGATTAAGAACACAGAATCCTATAGTAAAATATGAGGACTCTTTAAGAGCAGAAGTGTCAAGTTTATCTTGTTCAATGTGTTTACAAAGTTGGCCGCTATCGTTCACAGCTCCTTTTAGGATTAAAGTTCTCTCTTTTCAGACAGTAGTTCCCCAACACAGCTACACACTGGAAGTACCTGGGGAGGCTTTAAAACTACTGAACCCTGAATCTCACTCTGGGATGTTTTAACATAATTGAACTGGGGTGTGGCCTGGGCACTGGGACTTTTAAAAGCTCCCCAAGTGTCTATAATGTGCAGTAGAGGTTGAAAACCCCCCACAGTGGGAGCCAGTTAACAGATCAATCCCCCACTATTAACAAGACAGTTCTCCACAGCCACTTAAGCCATCATGGCCTCCCTGAGCGGTGGGCATCGGTCAGAGCCCCAGGCTTTCTCCAGTGCCACAGTGGCATGATGTGGCTCGTAAGGCAGCCACAGCCCAAGTTGCTGGTGTCAACTCAGAGGGCCTCACAGCTCCAGCTTTCCAAGGAAAAGCAGCCACATGCTTGCCTTGCAACACCACTAGCCACGCTGCATGCCTTTCAGAAGAAAGGTCTCAAAGACCTGAAGCAGGTGACTGCTTTGGAGCATCTCAGCAGGCATGTCATCCATCCATCCTCCACACCCCCACTCCTCCCCTCTGTCTCTATCCATCTACCCATCCTCTCCAATCCTCTTCCCCCCCCCGTCTCTATACATCCATCCATCCTCTCCACTCCTCGTCTTCCGGCCTCTCTCTATCCATCCATCCATCCATCCATCCATCCATCCATCCTCTCCACTCCTCCTCCTCCCCTCTTTCTCTGTCCATCCATCCATCCTCTCCATTCCTCCTCCTCCCCATCCATCTATCCATCCATTCATCTGTTAGAATGTGGATAAAATGTTATTGTTGGGCAGTGTGAGATTCCCTTGTGTTGAAGAAACTGCTACTTTGCTAGGCCAGGAGGAACCTGGACTTTGGGAGGATTCCACTTTAGGGATAAATCTGTTCTTTGCTGCTTTCCAACTTTGTGAACCCAGGTGCAGGGGGAAAAGGATACAATTCTCCAGTCCCAGGAACAGGAGGAAGATAAGGGTGTGAGAATGGGATGAGCCATAAAGATAGTGGGTATGGGAACAGAACAGGCTCCCTGTGCCTGAAGGCCATAAAAAATTAACATGTCTAAGGTTGCTACTTTTGATGTACTTCCCATCCCAAAAGGGCCTCCTCCTCCACCGCTCTCTCTCTATCCATCCATCCATCCTCTCCACTCGTCCTCCTCCTCCTCCCCTGCTGGTGTCAAATCAGAGGCTCTCACAGCTCCAGCTCTCCAAGGAAAAGCAGCCACATGCTTGCCTTGGAGCACCACTAGCCACACTGATTGCCTTTCAGAAGGAAGGCCTCAAAGGCCTGAAGCAGGTGACTCCTCTGGAGCATCTCAGCAGGCATGTCACTTACAGGTGTTGCAGCTGGGGCAGTTTGAACATCTTGGGAGGGATCACTGAAATCCGGTTCCTGTTGAGCTTCAGCACCAGCAGAGAACTGCCCAGGTTGTCAAAACACCCAGGCTCCATGGAGGTGACACGATTGCTATTAAGAAACCTGTTGAAAGTCTCAAAGTGAGCATCTCTTTCTGATTTCTCTAGAAAGTTACAGCACATGCAACTTCAGTGCTACAGTCTCCAGAAAGTTTAACCACCAAGGGAGACATCAAATAACTATTCCTTCAGTTTCTGGGCACAAATGTTGATTAAGAATCATGCAAATATCGATTGGTAAAGAAGGATAGGAATATTGGAAGGTTACAAAAATGTGTTACGGATGTCTACCAGCTTTTATGAAACTCATGCATTAACAAAACACTGCAATCATTGGACTTTGAATTTTTTAATGAGGCACTTGTCACAGATTGTTTTTCTTACAAAGAATACCTAACTTTTTGTCATCCACAAATGATAGTGATAACACAAAGCCTATGGTTATTTGGGATTAAGCAGATTTCATGTCATTAAGAGTACATGTTTTGAGCAGAAGTAATATTGAAACAGTTTATCTTAAAAGTGTATTTCCCTTTCATTACAAGAATATTACAGTTAAAAATTTTGACAAGGCAAATTTCACTTACAGATATTTGAGTTGTAGAGGTGGAAACGCAGTTTTAAGCTCTGAAATATTGTTGCTACTCAAGTCCAAAGTTTCCAGAGACTGAAATTGCTTCAGATGTTCAGGTAATACTTCAGAAATTCTGTTTCCAGCCCTGATTTAAAACATAACCCAAAACATAACAATCTAAAAGGGAGAACAACTTTTTATTGTCTATATCTAATTTGCCATTGATCTAAACAGTACCTTCAAAAGTTAAACAACAATGCTACCATCTCTTCTAATTAATTCAGAAATCCTATCAGTTTATGCAAAGTGGGGCAGGCTTTGTGGTGAAGCACGTAAAGCCCCCGCCTGTGACACTGGCAATCTGTCTGGGCTTTGGTTTGTGTCCCAGCTGCTCCAATCCCAATCCAGTACTTTATTAACAGCCTGGAAAAACCACTGAACCTGAATCTCACTCTGAGATGTTTTAACATAATTGGACCGGGGTGTGGCCTGGGCACTGGGACTTTTAAAAGCTCCCCAAGTGTCTATAATGTGCAGTAGCGGTTTGGACCCCTGGCACACGTGGTGAACTGCATAAAGCTCCTACATCTGGGCTTTACCCTGGTCCTGCCACTGGCAGCTGCAGCCAGCTGAGAAGTGCTCCAGTGGACAGAAGAATTCTGTATCTCCCTCTCTGCAATTTTTTCAAACATAATGCTTTTAAAAATATCTGTAATGTGTTTCCTGTAAGTTACCAGTAGCTGTTAAATGCTGTGCAGCAATGGCCAGAGCTGGCTGCAGGAAGGGTGGAAGCTAGAATCACGGGGCTCCCACGAGGGTGGACAGGAATCTACTTGAGCCAATCGCTACTGCCTCCTGAGATCTGCTTTTTGAACAGTTCTTCCTCCTCATTTAGTAAAATGGGAATGTGAAATATCCAAGACCAAGGGTGTCTCGAAGAGCTACTTTCCTTGTTCTTGATTTTTAGTCTACCTCTGATTGGCCTCTTGAAAAGGACCTTCCCTTGCAGAAGGCATCGAAATCTAAGCTCTCATCAGTAAACAAACACAGTAGAGAAACCCCTTTCCCTTACAAAACACTAAGATGCTCCAGGACTTTCCCTATTAGAAAAGTATTCCCCAAGGGCACAGCAGTCTAGAGAAGCCTTGGGTGTAATTAAAGTCCCAAGCCTCAGGCCATGATGGTTGATAGGGCAGCCACTTACCACAGGTGGCTTTTTACATTAATTAAATGTTAAAATTAGGTCCTTAGTCAGAGAAGCCATATTTCAAGCACTCAACAGCCATATTGGTTTGGCAGGAATTGAATGGGGCACCACACATCCCCTGTGGAACACTGCCACCACGGGCCAGAGGAGCTGAGTCAAAGCTAGTGAAATGATCACCACACAAGAGTTCCCTTGGGGGAAATTTGTCATTAAATGACAATTATGTCAGAAAACAAAAATGAAACGGATATGTAAGCCACCTTCATCATTATCATACTGGGTGGGATGGCTTTGTCTTTTTAGACCCACTATTTAGCAGAGGAAGATAGAATGTCAAGATGGGGCCTGCAGTCCTGGACTAGCAGCTGAAGTCCTCGCCTTGAACATGCCAGGATCCCATATGGGCCCCGGTTCTAATCCTGGCAGCTCTACTTCCCATCCAGCTCCCTGCTTGTGGCCTGGGAAAGCAGTTGAGGACGGCCCAAAGCCTTGGGACCCTGCACCCATGTAAAAGACTCGGAAGAGGTTCCTGGCTCCTGGCTTCGGATCGGCACAGCACTGGCCATTGCAGTCACTTGGGGAGTGAACCATCGGATGGAAGATCTTCCCCTGTCTCTCCTCCTCTCTGTATATCTTTGTAATAAAAATAAATAAAGAAATCTTTAAAAAAAAAAGTCAAGATGGTAAAGGTTCAGACAGCAGTCTACCTACAGGTCACACAAACGTGTCCTCTTACAAGCCAAGGTAAAATGAAAAAGACTCAACATGGCTTTGTGTCTTCTACCAGTTAGCAGCTGTGCTTTGATAGCCCGCAGCTGACATTCATTTAGCAAGAAAATTTAGAAAATATATTGTCTCTGGTATACCCCTTACCAATCACTAATTGTCTATGGTGCTTTGAGTTATTAAATTCTTTTGTATTTTTATAACTCAAAGCTCCTGAGCATTTTAGAGGGTTCCCATGTTAGATGGGCCCCTTAGGTATTCCCCCAAAATTGTACTGTCTTCTGACATGTTGCTTACACTACCAGTGGTGCCGGCCATCCTGCAAGCTTTATAGAAGCTGGAAAAATGCATGGACTCTAATCACAGCGAACATATATCAGGTGCCCAGTCCTACACTAAGCCCGTTCCACATATTATACCATTTAACCACAAGAGAATTTCTGTAGTACAAATAGAATTGTCTTTACATTAAAAAAATATATATTGGGGCCCAGCGCGGTGGCGCAAGTGGTTAAGGTCCTCGCCTTGCACGCCCGGGATCCCATATGGGCGCCGGTTCTAATCCCAGCATCCCCACTTCCCTTCCAGCTCCCTGCCTGTGGCCTGGGAAAGCAGTCGAGGACGGCCCAAAGCTTTAGGACCCTGCACCCGCGTGGGAGACCCGGAAGAGGCTCCTGGCTTCGGATTGGCATAGCATCAGCCGTTGCGCTCACTTGGGGAGTGAATCATCAGATAAAAGTTCTTCCTCTCTGTCTCTCCTCTCTGTATATCCGCCTTTCCAATAAAAAATAATAATTATAAAAATAAATCTTAAAAAAATATATATATTGATGCATTTATTTGCAAAACACAGTTATAGAGAAGGAGAGGGGGAAAAGGGAAGCGAGGGAGAGTAAGAAGGAATGCAGCTTCTCTCCCCAAGTTGGGAGCAACAACTGAGGCTGAGAGCTAGAATTCCACCTCGGTTTCCCCTGTGTGAGGCAGGGGACCAAGTACTTGAAGCATTTTCTGCTATTTTTCTAGGTTCATCAGCAGGAGCTGGACTGGTAGTGGAGCAGCCAAGACTCAAACTAGCTATGGGATGCCAATGTCCCAAACAGCGGCTTAGTGTACTGCCCCATAACACTGGTCCTGGTATACAGTGTTAAAACTATGGTTTCCATCTAACAAGTCCAGGCGGCCCTGAGATATGCCACAAGGGAAGTTCAGGCTGGTTCCAAAGCAATCCCGGAAGGCTTGCTTCATAAATTACAGAACCTGAGAGATGTTCAGCAGTTCTTCTGAGAAGGAAGTATGCTTTCGTAGATGCTGAACCTAGGGTTTCAAACTGATGTGGGTAGGCACCGGGCTCATGTGCTGTCGTGCCAACACCAAGAAAGCCCCAGACCACAACCCCTGCCCAGCTCTGCCTGCTACATGCTATTCAAGAGGGGCTGTCTAGGAGTGTGTGCGTGGGAAGCCTCCACCTTGGTTAAAAGCCCACCACGTGAATACATGCAAATATCAGGTGCTGCTTTTTCCATAAAAAGAACAGGGGCAGGAAATAGGACTGTGTAGTTTGTAGGCAAACAACAATACGCAAACCTTCTTAAAAATATGCAAATCCTCTGAACATTAGTTTTAAGAATGGGCTAGAAGTGTTCTTGTTTTAAAATCCAAATAAAATCCTACAATGATTTTCTTAAGAGCTGAACTCTGTGGTGATAAAGTTAAAGAAAAAAAAATACATATATAAATACAGATTAGTGGTCCTGGGTACCAGTCACAGCTGTCCAGCTCTTGAGAGTCCCCGTGAGGTTTTTGAGATTTTGTTTAGAGTCAAGTTAGCCACGAACTCTGATTGTGGCCACTTTCCACATCTGGATTCGCCAGCGTATGAACTCCTTCATCTAGTTGTGAGGTACAGGGTAGAGTGAGTGAGACAATTAGTCAATTTCGAGCCCCGGAGATGGAGCCAGTCCAAGAGACAAGCCACAGGGCCTTAGGGTCAGGGTGTGTGGGTTCAACAAAACCACACACTGGGGGACCAAACTTCTCTCTTAAGTACATAATCCAACTGTTTGCATTACCCGGATGTCGTCCCATCAACACTGGAGTAACCCTCCAGCATCCCAGGCCCCCTGCCTCGTGGCTCTCCCAGGTCCCTAGCCACTCTTCCTTTAAACTTCGCATCTGGTTTTGCCCAGCCTCCTGGGTCCCCAGTCTGTCTGGGCTTAGCACAGCTACACTCTTATTTAACAACAGCAAAAAGAAAACTCTCATCTCTGGCTTTCACAATAAATGGAACAAAATTGTTTTGGGGGAGAAGGAGAGCCGCAGGTGTCTATCACGTTGGTCAAATAAGGCTATGAGTTAGATAACAGACCGTACAATCGCTGGTTTATATATTCGTTTGTTTATAAGGTAATTATGAACAAGGTATTAAAACTGCCAATTACTTGAGTGACGAATAAAATTTTCCTTGCAGTAAAAGTATGCCCTGGCCAAAGCCAGCAATTTCCTGAACTGCACACCTCCTAAATTGCAGTGTGAAAGTGCTCAGTTATGGATGGAGCTCGCACAGGGCCGTCTTTGTCAGCTCTGTTCCTTCACACAAAAATCTCTTACAGCTTCCAGGATAACAGTCCCTGTATCACAAAAATTTAAAACTGCCCTAATGGAACTAAATTAAATCCAAATACCAGCTTCTTATTAACTCTCAGACCAGCTGGCAAACAACCACCTGGTATTTGTCCATTCAAAACAAAACAAAACAAAACAAACAAACAAGAAAACCTGGCTTTCTATCATTTAAAAACAAAACGAAAAGCCCCAACCACATTCAAAAAATCTAGGTCAAAACATCACCATCGGACATGCAAAAACAATCACTCCATGAAGTGTGTCACAAACAGCCACTTCTACAAGACAAAGATTCTATTTCACTCCAGCTTTTTCTCAAAATATGAAGAAATGCCCAAATTAATCAACATAATAAAGAGTTGATATTTTTGGCAGAAAATGGGCAACACTTGAATAGAATCAGAACACTGCGAACACTCCCACCGACCCAGTTTAAATTAATGTGCAAATACCCTCTCTCTCATGTTCCTGGATCACTGATATGATACTCCAAGTATTGGAAGCTGTTTCAGGCTCCCATGCAAATCCCTACTACAGGCAAGGAATATTTTGGTGTTCTATATATGTTGGTAGTACAAGGAGTTCCCTGC